GGCGCGAGGGAGCAACGGCCGCCTGAGGGCTGGCCGCCCGTCGCGGGGGCGGGAGCCCTTTCCTCACAGCGGCCTGCTGATGGGCGTCGCGCGCGTGAAAAGCCTTAGGGTTGGCTGTCTCCAAGGCGCAAGTGGTGCCAGGCTTCTGATGCTGAGATGATCTGATGATTAAAGGTGATCTGAACAGAAAGAAATTGATGTGCGCTTTCAGGGAGCATAAGAAAGTGTGACTATTACTAGTGAAGCCAAACATATGTGAATTTCTAGGAGAAGCTAATAATGTGTGTGTTTATCTGACTTCTGTTGTCTGTCTGTCTTCCCTCTAGGAAGAAGGGGAGGCCTCAGCTGAAGTCTTCTGTCTGATACTGAAAAACAAATGCAATGCTGTGACTAAAGGCTAAATCTTTTCTTGACTTTATGGCTGTCATGAGAGTATCTCTGAGATAATTTATCGTATTGCTTGAAGTTCTAGAGTTTATGAAAATGCCTGAAATAAAAGTCACTCCCTTGGGTAAGTCCAAACCTAAAATGGTCCTGAAATAGACATGCTGAAAAACTTTGTATGCTGTGATTTCCTTGAAAAGAAACAAGCGAAACTGGAGTTGAAATTTGGAGTTAGTAATAACGTGTTTTAGACCGCTGGAGATGCATGTACTTTTCCCTGCCACAAAAACTGGTCACAGTTGTATACTTGAGTATGTTACATCTGTGCAACATAGGGGTGTCGTTGTCCTCCTTTTGCTGTTCAAACAAGTGCCACTCAAATAGAGCCTGCAAACTCTATTCTTAAATGAAAAGATTCACTAACAGATATTGGTGAAGGGCTTGTAGATCATATCTAGTACTGCAGAGGTCTTCTGTTATTTATTGTAGTATTGTACAGCATGGATAGAGTATTAGTAAACTCGATGGAGCTGGAGATCCATAGGAAGCAATTTTTCATTATTTTGGGAGTTGCACAGAAGCTGTTGACAGGCATTTAAGTGCTGAGAGGGCAGTGGATGTTCCAAGCAGGAAAACTGCTCTATCCTAGTCAGTCATTTTCTAGCTTGGAACAGACTTCCTGGTGCATTAGGGAAATCTGTGCTTTCACTGAGAGGCAGAGTATTTGTGGTGGGGCACAACCCTGGGAACTTTGGGCTTCATGCGATTGACACTGCCGTTGGGCTAGTCATTTCCCGTAGCTCAGAAGAAATAGGTCAATTTGGATATTTTCAGGTAGTTAAGAGATTATTTTGCTCTTACCTAAAACTGCTTTGAAACTATGTTGCTGCTCTTGCACAGTACCGGGCAGAAAACAAATGTACCCTGCATCTGAACCGCTTATGGGCTTGGACTCGGTGCTGTAGTAAGTGCAGTTGTGCGACTGGAGCTGGAAGGCCCTCTCATAAGCTTAGGGAATGGGATAAGTGAGCTCACATCTGCTTCCCTCTAACGGGTCCACTTGCTTGGAAGAAAGGATGTGGCCTTCTCCTGCCCTGGAAGGGAGCTAGGGCTAGAGATTGAAGTTTGTAGAGATCTTTCAGTGCTTCTCTTTTGAAGTGACTGCAAGTATTGCTAGAGATGCCTTGCTTGTCTTCCTTTTGTTTGGGTCCAGGGGCTGGCCAGGATGTGGGGCGCAGCTGCATCCTAGTGTCCATCGCAGGGAAGAACGTAATGCTTGACTGCGGGATGCACATGGGCTACAATGATGATGTGAGTATGGTGGGGAAACCTGAATGTTGAATGGAGATGCTTTTAAGGCATATCTGCCTGGCCTTTCCTAGCAGAGCTCCTTGTTCATCGTCCTGGCCTATTCACCTTCATTTGAATGTTGCCTGACCCATCTGGCATGGCACATGGGTGCTATTAGCTGGGTGTGCACTATTGGGCATCTGTATCGGCCACTGCTGGAGAAGGGTTACTGCCGAGATTGAACTAGTATTTCCCTTCCAAAATCTTGTCTTCCTGTGCAAGAGCTACCCCTCAGGTATTTCCAATCTGTGAAGTTCTACCATCCGGCCAAAAGCCTCTGAAAAAATATTAAGCAAGCTGTGAATGCCCCATTCCCACTTGTTTTTGTTGTTGCTGCACCTCATATGGGCAGGCATCTTCTATACTTTAAAGCATTAATCCCACCGTTAGTTAGATAGCTCCTGTGAGGAGGCTTGTTCTTGAGCGATTAATTACTTGTGGGATCCACACCAAGACATGCTGTATGGAAGCTTTGCTGATGCCTCAGAGGTAGAGCTAGATAATACTCCTGGTATTTGGTTACCCGATACAGGTAAGAAAGGCATAAATGCAAAAATATTTTGCACAAGTAGAAAGATTCAAGGCACGACAGAGAGCAAACGTGCCTTTTCAGAAAAGATTTTGAGGCTTTTTGCCTTAATGCCTGTGGGTGAGCTCAAATGCGTTGGTCACCTATTTTGCTTTGAAGATAAACTTGGCTGTAATTTACTTGTTTGCAAGATCAGGTTCTCTGACTCTCCCCTGACGGTCCTCCCCCCTTTTTTCTCTTTGACTCTATCTGCACATAAGCCTTAACAGTGTCATGTACAGCTCTTACCATATTGCTGACACCAGCCCAGTCTGCTGACCTACTGCAATTTTGCCTTGAGATGGATTACACAGTGTTCCCAGTGTTGTGGACAGTTCATGCCATTGTTCTGCTGGATTAATAATTTAGCATTAACTGGCTTTGTTTAGTAATAGATAACCTGCTTTTTTATGTTTTGCAGAGGCGCTTTCCGGATTTTTCTTACATCACTCAGAACGGAAGGCTGACTGACTTCCTAGATTGCGTGATCATCAGGTGAGAAAACTACTTCCTTGTTACAGCTCAAATGGAAAACAGGAACGCTTTCTATGCTGTTCTTTCCCTGTGCGATGCTAAAACTAGTAACCCAAACAAGTTTCAGGTCGATCGTTCGTATTTTGGTTGGTTCTTAAGTTCCTCTGTGTTGTGCAGTGCTTTTAAAAGCCTGAAACGAGATTTGAGAACCAGGCAAGCGCCAAAGACCTCCGGCTAAATTCCTGTGCAACATCTTCATTTTTTCTGTCTTTTTTGCAGTCATTTTCATTTGGACCATTGTGGAGCTTTGCCGTACTTCAGTGAAATGGTCGGCTATGATGGGCCTATTTACATGACACATCCTACCAAAGCCATCTGTCCCATCCTCCTGGAGGACTATAGGAAAATCACTGTAGATAAGAAAGGGGAAACTAACTTCTTCACGTCCCAAATGATTAAAGACTGCATGAAAAAAGTTGTTGCTGTTCACCTTCACCAGACGGTTCAGGTAAACGACCGTTGCTGCATAGTCTTCAGTCACACCAACTGGATTGCTGTGGAAGGCGGAGCAATTTTATCTTTTTAAAATGTGTGCACTACTGCACTATTTGCCTGTTCATGCAGGTGGATGAGGAGTTGGAGATCAAGGCGTACTATGCGGGCCATGTGCTAGGAGCAGCCATGTTCCAGATTAAGGTTGGATGCGAGTCTGTTGTTTACACTGTAAGTATGCACAACACCATGTATAGAAACCTGCATCTCCTTTTAATAGTGTGTGTCCTATTACCTTGAGAAAATAAACGGATTTCTCTTCTTCCATTAGGGTGATTACAACATGACGCCAGACAGACATTTAGGGTGAGTAGGAAGCTGAGTTTCTATGAGTTGCATGTATTTCAAACAGGAAGATTTTAGCAGCAGCTTCTGTTATTCCCTAGGGCCTTATCAGCAGTGTTTCTTTGTTCTTGTAAGGGGGACTGGAACATTTAGTTAGGCCTTTGCTAGAAAGATGAATGCAATTTTGAATTACGTGAATGAACAGATTTACACTGATTCCTCACGATAAACCTTATTGTAGTCTTGTTCCGTACAGTCATATGTTCTTTTATAAGACTGTGCAGTAATGGGGTTTAGATATTTGAAATGCTTTATTGCCATAGTATCTTCTAAATGTGTTTACTTTCTAAGAGAGCTTTGATCACAAGCTTTAAAATTAGGATTGATTTTATTTTTACGGGTAAATATGAGAGATTTATAATATTGGTGATATTTAGAATAATGTTTTAATGTGTTAAAAACCAGTAACAGATTGGAGAAGAATTGCCTTTCAAAACATGTGGAGTTAGTTTCTATTCTGGGCTGAATTCGTTTAAGGAAAGCATGGCCTGTAGAGACAGGAAACTTGATGCTGCTGTGGAAGCCCTAGGTGACTTTGGGCAAGCCAGTCTCTGCAGTCTCTGCATTTCTGCTTTCCTATCTGCCAACAGAGGTGGTGACATTCTTCACCCATCTTTGAGACTAGCAGATCAGAAATGCCAAATACCATCTCTTAATCTGATAAGCTTTTAAGCGTTTCTTTTGTTTTTAGGGCTGCCTGGATTGATAAGTGTCGCCCAGATTTATTAATAAGTGAATCCACTTATGCCACAACTATCAGAGACTCCAAACGCTGCAGAGAAAGGGATTTCTTGAAGAAGGTTCATGAGACTGTAGAAAGAGGAGGGAAGGTATGGCTCGTGGAATA